CCCTTCCACCATTTCTTGCGCCCTGAAGCGCACAAGGTAGATCCAACATTCCTCTAGGTACCGAAAGCTGCCCTATTGCAGCCTTTTCATTGGTCAATTGTTAACCAATCCGTGCACTGTATCATATACGCGTTTTACCAGATCAATGAGTGATGCGTCAAGGTTTAGTTGAATCATCCACTGGCAACTGATCACGCGACTGCGTGCTACCCCAACCAGTCAGAAGCCGAGATCGGCTACTGCCTTCGCTGTAGGTAGATAAAAGCTTTTTGAACGCACCTGCACTTGAGAAAAGGAAATGAACGGTTTCCTCCATACCGTACGTACTCGTGGTTTGTCAAATTTATGCCTTTTTTATTCACTGATTTTGTTCGCTTCCAATGATTAAGAGCAATCCCATGTTGGAAATTTTGTTTGTACAAATCACCACTTTCAGGTAGAAAATGCTTGAGTTGTTCCATTTCTGACTGTGAAATATTTTGTTGACCTCAGAAGGATATTTTTTTTAAATTTTTGCTAATGTTTGGTTGGGGGTTAATTTTGTTTTATCGCATTACTAATCTAAAAATTGTGAGTAAAGCAATACATTTAAGTCCGAAAATATTTTAGGAAAGCTTTCTGTATTCTGCTGCAAATCTGACAGGCCCGAGTTTTGTCGTTTGTTTGCTCATGCCTTCATCACAAGAGAAAGACGATAAATCAATAACTCCACCCAGACATTGATTTTTCGTTTTACGATCGATATCTCCTGCCTCCGTGTCACCCTCCCCCCCAGCTTTCCGACTGAAAGGAAAAATAAGTGAATAAATAAGTAAAGAGTGGCTCTAGTGCCTTCAATCTCTGGTTTGCTGAGTGAAGGAAATGTCATCATTTCTGTTATATTACAAGCTTTTCGGCTAGGTAGTTCCGCTGGTTCACTCCGTTGACTCATTAGCAATGATTTGCATCTTTACAACTCAGTTTTTGCGCTCGTAAAACGTATTAGAGAAAGTAGACACCTTTAATGAGGAAGGTAAGGAGCAGTGGAAAGCCTCTGCAAACATTTGCTTCTACATTCTGTAATTACTGTGCAGTGGGGTACAAGCTAGCTGCGATTTACGAGCACAAACCTACCCCCAGCTGCCTGCGTCTGTTCTGCCCAGCATACGATCTTGTGATTGCATAATGCTGGTGCCAAAGAAGAGGTAGTAATCACATGGAACCTGCATAAATCACCGGAAGAGTAGAAAGGACGAGGGTGAAGGCGAGGAATACGTGATATCTATCTACTGTTGCCATTTCAAAATGAGTTATGAGATCTTCTCATTGATCAGATTTACAGTAGTATAGTATATGAGGTCTAATGTTATCTTGTCTCTGCAATGCCATTTGAGTATGGTTGTTTTTATTATCAGCGTCCGCTTTTTACCATTTTTCTGCAGTTGGTTGCTCCAAATCGCTAACCGCAAACAAATTGGCTAGATTTTAAACCGAAAAACGGATCGTGGATATGTCTCTTCTAGGAATGAGTGCTTCTTGCCTGTTTTGAGCAACAAAACTTTGGATTGAGCGCATCCATCTACAGGTCGTGTTGGTCCACATTCCTCCCAAAACCGTGATTATCACGCTTTTAAAAGTAGCTGGATTTCTTACGGAGACGACCGTCACTGACTTGCCATACTAAAATAACCCAAAATTTGCACTTGCTCAAGAAGGATAAAGGCGTATCCAGACCTTCCGTTGTTCTGCCACGATTGGTAAAAGGGTATTCGTTCTCTTGTTGGCTTTAAGTCTCTTTTGGATGGCACAGGAAAAGGGACTCACTAACGTCTACTGCAAGGCATGTCTGTTAGCTATCTTAGACATTTCGAAGATCGCACCACTTTTACAAGCCGCATGTATAGGCTGAGTGGATCTCTCAAGCCGTTCAGCGGCCGTATCAGGCTAGAGATGTGGAAATTGATACCTTGGAGAAGCCCTCACGATTGATGTTAAGTGGAAGAGCTAACCACAAAAGTTTTTAGCGGGGTAATCACTGTTAAATAAATGCGATCAAAAACACAGCCAGCCTTCCTTTATTTTACTGGTAGAGCAAATAAACCAGAGTATCGCACGTTGACTAGGTATACGATCGTCCTCTGGGTACCAGTATCATTTACCGTACAATGGAATAGAGTGCAAAATGTCGTCGAGGCGGTTCTCGTAAATCGGAGTAGATGGTGATTGACCGGAGTGTGAAGCTCTGACGCCGGGTATAGTTAACTCCATTGTGGTCATTTGCATGATCAAATCATTTGAGGTTTGTCATTTTAGTTGATACAACTCACTTTTCAACACCATTTTCGGAGTGTTTAGCACGATTACTCTTAGCGTTGCAAATATGTGACATGTGTTCTTTGTCAGTTTATTGTAATTGGCTGCTCCGCGTAGCTAACCGTAGACACATCGGTCAAGTTTCTAACACCAAAGTGGATTCACGTGGCTACATGTGGCTGTTTGACCGGACTGTAAGGAGTATTGCTGTGTTTGTGGTGTTTTTTCTTTCATTCCGTGTTCTATCCTGAACCGCTGACTTAGTTTTCCTGTTGCTGAATGCTTTTGAGTGAGAAAGATTATGTTATGTGAACTTCCGGTTATCGTGACTGACGTAGACACGAGGCGGAGTACCGATACCTGTTGCATGGTCTCCAACTCGTTTCGTCCGTCTGTCTGTCTGCCTCTGCCTCTCGGTTTTGTTCTCCATGACTTTCCCCCCATTACTAGTTACACATGAGCTCTTCAATTTCCAAACTGCCTCGGTCACTGTACCAGCGGTGATATGAGTAGTAGCATTTGTCGTTGGATCGTATGTGCCTTCATAGAACGTTTTCACGTGTGGCTGTTGTTTGTCTACGCATGAAATGATACTAGTCCCACATTCTCACCTTCGAATGGTCTTTTCGTATTTAAGATTGGTCGGATTTGGGGGCGCCTACGCCCGCATGTTCTCGACTTTCTTCTGGCCTTCACAAGGGTTGGGACACCTGAGAGTCGATGCGACCGCACGTCGAGCACCGATAAATTAATCAGTAGTATGGTGAATGAAGTGCTGATCGGTTTTGCGGCTTCCAACTTGGTAGACCTATTCTTCCGTGGTGGTATCAATGCATGGACGTAAGTCTTCGCCTTCTTAACATTTGACAGCTAAAGTGAACTGGCTTTATTACCTCTTTTATTACCCAAGTACTTTATTTTCCCATTTTCGGTAGTTCTTCCACCTTTCCCCATAATTTTTTTTCCATAATGGCCTTTGAAATGTATATATGCGATTTTTCGCTGCTTCCCTTGTCTATTATTTCAAATTACTTGCATTGGTAACTCATGGTAATCCTTTCTCACGTTTTACTCTGTTTCAGTAATGTCTGGTTTTCTAATTCTTGTCTTCTCTGTTGATCAAACTTAAATTGCACCCATTGAATTCGTCAATGATTAGTACATAGGAAGTGCCTCCAAACGCTTGTCTTCTCCCCATCTCTGTCTTCCATTTCGTGCAAGGTGCATTGCTCAATTCGGCCTTACATTGCCTCTAATACGTTTTCATCCACCTACCTACCCATTTGATTTAGGCCATGGTGTGTCCGTCTTACGGCACTGCTCAATTTCCCTGTCATACTGATACATAACCACTTTTTCCACTTTTGTTTACTTTTAGGGCACTGATCGGTGCAAGTGCTCTGCTAATTTTCCTTTTGGGAAGTATTTTAAGACCATCTGTTCAATAATGTGCTTTGAAATTACAACGTCCTTTTGCTTATTCTCTCAGTCTTCCCTTCATTTTGCGTATATGGCCCTGGG